GGGTAAGAGGGTAAAAGACAGGGCAGCCCAAAATTAAACCTCTGGCCTCCACACAGGACGCAGCTGCTTTAAGGAGCCTTGTCCTGGGAGCAGGGCAGAGGCATGCCACATGGGTCACAGAGCTGTCCCCTGCCACATCCCCTTGCTCTTATCTCCCCTGCCTGGCTCAGAGCTGCTGGGGCTGAGCGATGGCAGCTGTGATGAGGGTGGGCAAGGAAGGGGGTTGTCCTGTCTGTCTCTCTTCCTGTCCCTTCACCCACCCCCCAAGTGCCATTTCCCCCTGTATTGTTCAGGCTGTTTGTTTAGAGAAGCTCCTCGCAGCACCCTGAGCCATGAAGTCTGTCCAGGCCTGGCTTCTTCATATCCTGGAGCTGCTTCTTCCCTTGCCATCACTGCTGGCTGCCCTTCGCCTTGGCCACAGGCTGCATTGCCTCGTGTCCAGGCCGCAGCCTCCGTGGTGGGATGGCCCAGCAGGAGACATTTCCAAAACAAGGCTGTGTGGAAAGTCTGACTGCGTGTGGTTTGGGCCTCATTTCCCTGGCTGGGGGCCTGCTCGCTCCTTTCTTCCTCCGCAGGCACCAGAGGCTTCTCTTGCTGATTTGCCCATAGGCACGGCAGCTAGCCTAACCTCAGCTCCCCCTGGGGCTCATGAAGTGTCCCATGGGCACTCCCAAGGCAGGTATGGGTCTCTCCTGACCCCAGAGCCTTGTCATCAGTGATGCTGGCACCTCACCCAGATGGAGCCAGGCGCGTCTCATACCAGGGGCTGCCTCAAGCCCAGCTGGAGGGACAATACAGGGGGACGGTGCCTCCTTATTCGTCCCAGCCCCATGCATCCAGAGTTTCTGTTAAGATCTGAGGAGACTTTAATTCAGTCTGTGCCTCTCCCAGCACTGTCCCTAACAGCCCCAGCATAATCCCTTTCCCAGATCGCTGGATCTCGCCCCGCTTGGCTGGGGGATGGCGTAGGAGGCTGAAGAGCTGGTTAAAGCCCAGTTTGCAGGCCCCAAGGTGCCGGAGGGGATTGACCTCGGCCAGCCTTGTCCTGCGCCGTGGTTCGCTGCAGGAGGAGATGGCGTGAGTGTGCACAGGGCTCACACTCCGCCTGCTTCCCTGTTGTTTCCAGCAAGGGCTTAGCAGTCGCTCTCAAGCCCAGCTCGGTATTTTGGTGCTAGCGCTGCTGCTCTCCAAGTTGGGATAGGACTTACAGGGCAGTGGTGAGACCTAGTAGGACCTCCTTACCATAGTGAGTGGCAACGCTGAGACAGAGGAGGTCTGTCAGCAACTTTGCCCTGTGTGGCTCCTCTGCAGCCCCAGTGCAGTAGGGACAGCCGCTGTAGCTGCTGCCAGTATGCTGTGTGATGGGGAGTGCCCACTTGGCAGCTGCTCAGTGACCTGTGTTTTCTCTCCCAGCCTGGGAAGGACAGCTGTCTCCTGCCAGTGATGGTGGCCCTCCGTGTCATCTTTATCCCCCTTTTCATGCTGTGCAACGTGCAGCCCCGTCACTACCTGCCTGTTGTATTCTCTCATGATGCCTGGTACATCATCTTCATGATCTTCTTCTCCATCTCCAATGGCTACCTGGCCAGCCTCTGCATGTGCTTCGGGCCCAAGTGAGTAAGAGCTGGGGACAGGGGAAGGCTTGGTTACCCCCCAGGATGCCAGCCCCAGCATAACTGCAGTCTGGCTCTGCCCAGCTCTGGTGTCTGGACTTCCCAAGGGGACGGAGGTACATAGGGGATCACCACACCACCTCAGGGGAGACAACCCCAGTGTCCTGGCCTTGTGCCTCCATATCCTAAAGATAAGGAAGCTATCATTTGGGCTCTCCATTTCCCCCTCCTGCCATGCTAGGGAAGGCGCCAGACACAGTGGGGATCTGGAGGGAGTGTCTGGCTCCTCTGCGGCCTGCTCCCACCTCTCTGTTGAACTCACGGCAGAGCTTTGGGCATGCATGTCTGAGGACGTGTCTGACACCTGTTTCTCCCCTAGGAAAGTTCTTGCCCACGAAGCAGAGACAGCTGGAGCCGTCATGGCCTTTTTCCTGTCACTGGGCTTGGCCCTAGGAGCTGCTGTCTCCTTCCTGTTCCGAATTCTCATCTAGCAGAGGCACCTGGAGGGTGCAGGGACACCAAGAGACAGCTCCGCATCCTCCTCCGAGGGCCTGGACACCTTGGCACCGTGGGGGGAGAACACCTCACGCCTGCCCCTGCCAAATGCACCGTTATGGCAGATGTTACACCCAGGGACGGTTCCACTCCTGCAGGGTTGGCCTGGCTCCTGCCACGCTTGGCTTTGTGATGCCTTCAGGCCTATGTGCCTTCTCCTTCCCCATGCTGTGTGTGTAAGACCCCTGGGGTCCAGCTGCCTCCCACGCTGTGTGTTTTCCCCAGCTCAAGGCCAAAAGCCATTCAGTCTCCTCTCCGATGGAGTTGAAGGCTGGTATCCAGTGTTATTCCTTCTCTTGCCGTTGTCCCCAGGGCACCTAGGGACTTGCTCTCCTCTCCTTCCAGGTGGCCTGGAAACATCCCACACCACTTCTGCTGGTGAGACTTGCAAATGGGGAGGAGAGTCTCAACCAGCTTCATCATCCCTGTTCTCTGCTGGGTACACACTCCCCTGCCCAGCAGCATCCCAGGAGCATAGACATCCATGTCCCACCTTCATGAAGAGCCAGCACTGTGGCTAGGACAAGGAAGGAGGAGGTCTCCACACCCCACCTTCTCCCCCTTGTCCTTGCCTTTGTTCCCTACTTATTTTTTTTTCCCCGGTGATTTTTTTCCAGTTTTCTTTCTGCCTCCTGGTTGAGTGATCATGGGCTGCAACAGGAGAGGAGGCAACTCCCCACCTAGGCTGCCTTCCCTCGCCCCCTGCGCTGCAGGGGGAGGCCTGACCTCTCCCTTGGCTTTCCAACCCCTTGTCTGTGTAAATGTGTCTGTACAGTTGTCATTTTCTATAAAAATATTGAAATGCCCTTTTGGGTATGCGCGTGTGTCCATCACCACAGGGGCAAGGGCTGCTGAGGGGCAAGGGCTGAAGGGAGCGGCACCAGCATTTCGTGGGTGTCCCCACGGTCCTCTGTAGCCAGCATCAGGTGATGGAGCCCAGTGTCTCCCTGCTCTGGGGACATGGCCAGCATGGGAAGGGGGTGCTGCCCGTAGCGCCTCTGACAAGGGGATGCACCTGCGCATTTTGGGGTGCAGCAACCCATGCTATATGCACCTGGAGCTTTCCTTGTGCCTGGAACAGCTGGAGTGCCACCTCCTGCTCCTGGGGACACACACACACACACTACACCCTGGGCCTCCACCCCACACACCACCCCTGTCCCCCACACCATTCATGGCCATCACCTCCCCAGCCAGAAGTTGTAGGGCTCAGGTGCCCTCATGCCACCCCCGGCTTTCTCTTGTCAGTCAGGCATCACTCCAGCTCTGCACCACGGAGAATCCAGACTCAAAAGAGAGGATAAAAGCGTGTTTATCTTACTACCCTCAGACACTAAAATTACAGCATAGCCCATCGCTGGCTTCTAGTGGGGAAAAGGGGCCTGCTTTGCTCTGAGATCCTGACGTGACCCCCACATCACATCGCCTCCCCGACAGAACACCCCCCGCCATCTTGTCCCCTCATCCCCAAGGCCCCAGGTGACACCCAGCCTCAGGGCGTCAGAGCTCCACGGCTCTCGGGGGGCGGCCGCAGAACGGAGTCGGGACAGCGGGCACCTTCCTGGGGCCGTGTGGACCCCCGGTTCCCTGCCCAGGGCCGGAGGGAGCCGAAGCAGCACTGCTGCAGGGCTACCACTGACCCCTTCGAAAACCGGTGGAGCCCATGCACACCACAACCCAACTGCAACATTGCCCCTCCGCTGCCGCCCGCGGGAAATAGCCCCGGCAAGGAGCGGGCCGGATAGCGACATGAGGGCTATGCACCCGGCCTCCACCATGGCCTCCGTCCTTAAACGGCAGTGAAGGTGGACCCCACGCACAGTCATACTGCGGGAACCAAGGCCGTTTTAAGGCGGAAGAATTCAGTGGGTGCTGCGACATCACCGTCTCTATAAAATGCGGGTGGGGGGGGGTAGGTTTTCTACTGGTCGCTTGCTTACGGCGGCGTTGGGACTCTCAGCTGGGTCCTGTTTTCGCGCCGCCCTTTCCCCGGCGCTGACGGGCTGTGGTTGCGTTGTAGGTGCCTGAGGAAGTGCAGCGTGGGGAGGAGGATGCGGAGACCTTCTCCTTCCAGGCGGAGATCGCTCAGCTCACGTCCCTCATTATCACCACCTTCTGTTACAACAAGGGGATCTTTCTGCGGGAGCTGAACTCCAGCACCTGCGACGTGGTCCGGGCCCTGCTCGCCCGTCCTCGGGGGAGGCTAATGGCCTTCCGAGGGTGCGCAGGGGAGAGACTGGTTGTCTGGGTGGCCTGTGAGGCTTGTGGTGCTGGGGGAGGGAGGTGGTAGTTGAGTATGGAGCCCATGGCGAGCATTCCCCCCCCCTCCCCTAGGCGCTGGATAAGATCTGTTATGAGAGTCTTAACATATCCCTCCGAGCTAGACAGTAGTAAGGGCCTCAAGATCGACATAGTCTCCCTACCCCCCAGGACCACATGCTCACCCTGGTGGACACTGGCTTCACCAACAACCTGGGCACTCTTGCCAAATCTGGTACCAAACCCTTCATGGAAGCCCTGCAGGTGGGTTACCTTTGGCTAAAGTTCCCTAAGGTTTGGGCTACAGGCTTCCTTTGGTGTGTAGCCCCAGCCCTGCTGCCTTTCTTGCTGTTGTAGTTGTGTGTGTGTGCGCTTACCCGGTTCTCTAGCAGCAGGGAGGAGCTGAAGGTAGGGCTGCGTGACTGTTGGCACTCGCCCCTTTTTCTCTGCATGCTGTCCCAGTTCTTTGTTGCTGTGAACCAGTTGCATCTCCTGTTTCTTCACTGGTCCATTAGCCTTTCTCTGCTTTCCCAGGCTGGTGCAGACATCTCCGTGATTGGGCAGTTTGGTGTGAGTTTCTACTCTGCCTATCTGGTGGCTGAGAAGCTGCTTGTCATTACCAAGCATAATCAGCTGGGTGCTCCTTTACTGTCCTAACTGCCTATGGTACATATTGTGCAAGAAACCAAACATGTTTCTCTGCTAGAAGCGCCCCTTTTCCTGATGCTCCCTAGAGCTGTACTGCTTTTTTAGTCATGCTTGTTAATGTTAGATATCAAGTAGTGTTTAAGCTTGAGGAGCTGGCCCCACTTGCTCTCTGCCCTTTAACACTATGCCCTGAAACGCTGATGTTTCTTTTACCACACCATAGGTAAGCCCATTAGACAAGGCACCAAAGTGATCCTGTATTTGAAGGAGGACCAGACAGAGTACTTGGAGGAGTGGCATGTCAAAGAGGTGGTGAAGAAGCACTCCCAGCTCGTTGGCTACCCTGTCACTCTATGTATGGGAAGGACTGTGAGGACCCACTGGAAGGGGAAGGCAGGAGTGGGTGATGGTGGGAGCAGAAGCCTGGAAAAGAGCGGAGTATGGTTTTCCATTTCCTTCCATAGTTGCTGGGTATTGAGCAGTGGTGCTCCCAGCTTCTGTGGCCAGAGGTGATTTGAGGCTGAGGGCTTATTGGAGGTGAAGACGGTGGGTGTCTAGCCATGCTTTTAGCCTTTGATCTGTGCAGCTGGAGGTCATCTAAACCAGCCATGGAGGGAGGAGAGTTTTCTGTCTCTTTTCTCATCTTCTTACACATAGGTTTTGGTTGCATGAGCTGTGGAGGGATTCTGAGGACTGGTTTCAGGAGAAGCCCTGGTTCCAGGCATTGCATTTGTTGAGCCTTGAAGGACACTCATTTCTCTCATCTGGAGCAAAAGGATTCCTGGTAACAGTTACTTGGGGCTGAACTTAACTCTTGTTTGTCCCTTTCTCCACAGATGGAGAAGGAGCATGAGAAAGATCAGCGGTGATGAGGCAGAGGAGGAGAAAGAAGAGAAGGAAGAGGAAGAGTCAGCATCCAAAGATGAGGAGAAACCCAAAATCAAGGATGTGGACTCAGATGAGGAGGAGGAAGAGGGAGACAAAGAAGAAAAAGACCAAGAAAATCAAGGAGAAATATATTGACTAGGAGGAGCTGAACAAGATCAAATCTATTTGGACCCGCAACCCTGATGATATCACCCAGAAGGAGTATGATGAGTTCTACAAAAGCCTCACCAATGACTGGGAGTACCAACTGGCTGTCAAGGTGGGTGCTGAGCCACCCTGGCTCCCTGTAAGAGACAGAGGGCCACTTTCTAGTCCATACCCAGAGCCACCACGTGGTTGTGGCTCCATACGGGCCTGAGGGCCACTTGGTTGTGCCTCAGCCTGCACTGTGACTCCCATGCAGGTGGAGGGGTTGGCAGTGCCAGCCTAGAAGCAGGACAAGAGGGTGTTGCATCTCAGAGAAGCATGACTCCCATCCCAGCCTGCTGGTTGCCAGAGAGCCATGACATGTAGAGGGCAGTGGGGCTGAGGAAGGGGAAATGCAGGCTGGTTGGATGCTAGAGACCCTGCTGTGCCCTGCCATCAGCCCCAGTGCTGAGTGAGGATCAGCAGTTCAACCTGCCCATAGCAGGTCCTGGGGGAAGGGGGAGCGCCATGGCAGCAGCTTTTTTCCTTCCTGGCTCTGTAGCACTTTTCTGTGGAAGGGTAGCTGGAATTCAGGGCCCTGCTCTTCATCCTGACTCCTGTTTTCATTTTTTGTATTCAGACTTCATCCATGGCATTGTGGACTCAGAGGACCTGCCTCTGAACATACCTTGTGAGATGCTCCAGCAGAGCAAGATCCACAGAGACATTGTGAAGAAATGCTTGGAGCTCTTCTCTGAGCTAGCAGAGGACAAAGAGAACAACAAGAAATTTTGAGGCCTTTTCCAAGAACCTGAAGGTGAGAGCTGGGCACCTTGCACCTGAAGGAGGGAGGGGCCCATGACCTGTCTGCCTGAGGAGCAATCTTGTCCCTGTGCCACATCTTCTCTGCATGGCAGTTAGGATAGAGGTGGTCTTGCAAATGTCCCAGAGAACCTTTGTGGGCAGCTGGCCCCTCTGGCAGCCCTTGACCCAGGACTCAAATGGTCAAGGTACAGGCAGAGATAGCTGTACCTCGGGGGTGGCCAAGTGCATGCAAGTCCCATCCTGGAGACTTCATGCACCTCTTCTGCCCCCAGCTGGGCATCCATGAGGACTCGACCAACCAAAAGCGCCTTTTGGAGCTGCTGTGTTACCACATGCCCCAGTCAGGCAATGAGGTAAATTCACTTTCAGAGTATGTCCTGTATGAAGGAGACTCAGAAGAGTATCTGCTACCTCACAGGTGAGCCAGAGCTCCTCCATGCCCTAGTGAGGTGAAGGCAGGTTACGTGCCTACTAGCCCTCTAACTTAAAGCAGATTCCTCAGGGCAGGTCCTGCTGCCTTCAACAGCCCCTCCCTGCTGAATCACAGCCCCTACCTGGGGGCTTCTTGACATCTCATTTCTACACCCAGGGGAAAGCAAGGAGCAGGTTGCTTGCTTGGCCTTTGTGGAGTGTGTGTGGAAGTGTGGCTTTGAGGTGGTCTATGTGACAGAGCTTGTTGACAAGTACTGCATGCAGGAGCTCAGAGTTTGATGGCAAGGCCCTGGTATTAGTCACCAAGGAAGGGCTGGAGCTGACTGAGGATGAGAATGAGAAAAAGAAGATGGAGAGCAAGGCCAAGTTCAAGACCCCCTGCAAACTCATGAAGGACATCCTAGACAAGAAGGTGAGATGGGCAGAGAGCTCAGCCCAGGGCTGTGTCCTGGGCTGGAGGGAGGAGAGCTGGGCCCTCTGTGATGCCTGCAAGGGCCCCAGCTTAATGCATGCCTCTCATCTCCTGCAGAGGAGCTGCTAAAGGAGACTGGAGGTCCCAGCATGTGCTGCATTGTCTTGCTCTAAGCAGTAAGGCTGCAGGTGAGGGGCACTGACCCAAATATGCGCATTGATGGGAGAGGGTAAGGTGTGGGAAACGTGCAGTGGGTACTGAAGGTGCTGGCTGAGCTGCCCAACCTAGCCTGTGCAGCAGCCCTGGAGCTGTTTGGAAGATCTCTTGCTTTGAGTGGTTGCAAAGACCTGGGGTATCATATGTTGTGGCTGGGCCCACCCCAGGGTGTAGAGGACCTTGCTAAGATAACCTGTGGTTACACTGGCAGGTAACTATCTCAAACCAGTTGGTCTCATCTCCCTGCTGCATTGTCAGTGGCACCTACAGTTGGATTGGCCAACTTGGAGCCCATCATGAAGGCTCGGGCACTGCGGGATAACTCTTTTATGGGCTTATATGATGGCCAAGAAGCACCTGGAGATCAACCCTGACCACCCGATTGTGGAAACCCTCCACCAGAAGGCTGATGCTGACAAGAATGACAAAGCTGTCGATGACCTGGTGGTGCTGCTCTTTGAAACTACTCTGTTGTCCTCTGGTTTCTCCCTGGAAGATTCCCAGACCCACTCCAACTGCATCTACAGGATGATCAAACTGGGGCTTGTAAGTGTAATGCAGCTTCTTGGTCCTGAAATCAGGTTAGCTAGGCAGGCCAGCGTGTAACTGTAATGGGGCAGGGGAGAGACCAGTAAGTGACCCATGCTGGTGTGATGGGTAGAACTGGCTGTGTGTGTAAGGTAGCATGGCCAAGCAGAAACCTGGAACAATCTACTTTGGGTGGGCTCAGAGCTCTGAGTGGACTGTCCTGTCCCCCATGAGGCCAAGACCCACGACCAGGCTGCTCAGATGACAAGCTGGGGCTTTTCAGTTCCTGATGGTGGATGTCAGAAGTCTGCCATGGGAGATGTGACCCATCTGGTGAAACAGCTTGTGCTTGCACCCAACTTTTTTCTCCAAACTGGTCTTTTTGGACAAAAATGTAAATGAAGAGGTGCTGTGGCTTGACATAACTATTGGGTGCTAATAGTGCTGTCCCTCAGCCTCTGGGATCACTTGGTGTGACTTAGGGGCCTCACCTCTCCCTCTCCTCTCTCGGGCATTGATGAAGATGAGGTAACTGCAGAGGAGCCCAGTGCAGCTGTCCCTGATGAAATCCACCCTCTGGAGGGAGATGAAGACACATCTTGCATGGAAGAGGTAGAGTAAAGTAGGAGGAAGCCTCTTCCCTTGCCTGCTAGGCCTCTGCCCCATCTCATGTCTGCTTAGAAGTGGGTCTGCTTCAACTGGCTGCAACTGACTCCTCGGTGGTGTCTCCTTTTTGGATTTGGTTGGTTGGGCTTGTTTTGGGGTTTTTTGTGGTTTTTTTTTTTTTTTTTTTATTTGGCAGAGGGCAGGAGGGCATGATTCCCTGTTTGTCAGTAGTGAGTGACTCAGGCAGCCCAAGGCCTGTCTGTTGTGTCTTTCTGCTTGTGTAGGAACTGCAGATGGGGAGTGGAGGTGAGGAGGCATCAGGCTTCCCCTCTTCTCCCTCCAGTGGGGTCTCCGGTGTTCCTAGTAGGCATCAAACACTGTCCTTGTTCCATTGGCATGGAAGAGCCCTTCCTCTGAGCTGCTGCTTCCTCCTTGAGCCCCCAGGGTTGTATTTTGGGTGGCTTGGTTATTTTTTTTTTTTCTGTTTGTTTGCTTTTCTGTTTTGTTTTACTGGAATTAAAGTATCAAAGACTGGTTTACACATCAGGGTCCCTTGTGTTTCATGCCTATCATATGGAGGAAGGGGTCTCAGCTTGTTCCTGAGGGTATTGGGTCACTGGTCTCTCCCCATCCTGACAGCTTTTCATAGCTCTGCTGTAGCTGATCTCTACCCCTTCCTTTGCCCAGGCATCATGAAGTGGCTACAAGAAACACCTGACCTGCTGTGCAGGTGAGGTTGCCTCCAGCTGGGCAGTTCTCCATGCAGAGCACTGCATTCCCAGTCTGTGTGTGTTAGCTGTGCCCTGCTGCTGGCTGCTCGGATCTGAGCATCCCTGGGGCAGGAGCGGTGGCAGAAGCCATCTGCCCCTTTCCTTGCAGTGCAGAGCCAGGGCTGGAGTGACAGCTCAGGACTGTACTTGAGCTGCCTCTCTTAGGCCAAGCTGCTCTTGCTCTGTGCTCTAGCCCCCACCTTTCCTCCCACCTCCACAGCCTGCCCTTTCAGGGCTTCTGCAGCCCTGGGGGATGTTGGCAGTGTCTGGCCACTCCCTGGCTTTTGCCTGTGTCAAGAGAGGTCAAGGACATCACTTCTGCTCCTTGCACCCAGTTCACACCCCACAAGCAGGGTTTGTCACCCTTGGCCAGTTGCCCCTGGGCTTTGTCAGGGGAGAGTGACGCCACCATCAAGTTAGGGATCACAGGCACAAACTGAGCAGGCTTTAGCCAGCATCCATCCTCAACTGGGAGGGAGGAGGCAGAGCCCACAGGTCCCAGCAGCAGCACCACAGCCAGGCCCCTGGCTTAGCCCTAGGGCAGGTGCCAGAGTCCCTCAGTGCACACCAAGCTGCTGTGCTGCCAGTGTGGCTGCTGGTTTGGTGCAGGGTGCTAGGACAGTGCTGGAGCTGAGCTAGCCACTGCCTTCAGCGTGGTTTTCTTTTCCCAAGATAGGAGGGGGTGGGGGGGGGGAAGTTTAAGATTTCTCTCAGGACAGGAAAGTTTTGCCAAATAAAGAATTTACTTCAGCAATTTAACTTACAGTGTTTTGGTTGTTTGGGTTCCCCCCCCCGCCCTGTGTTTTTTTCTTTAAATCTACATTTAATAGAAAGAGGTATCCCAGTCCCAACCAGGCAGACTTTTTCTTTTTAACCAAAATTTTAAAAAATATAATCCATTTCATTTTGTCTGTCAGCAGATGGTCAGACTTGATGGGGCTCTGAGCAACCTGATCTGGTAACATTGTCCCTGCTTCCTGCAGGGGGGGGTGGACTAGATGATCTTTAAAGGTCCCTTCCAACCCAACACGTTCTGATTCTCTGCTAGGGGCAAACATTTGGGGTAATTTGTAGGGGAAGGATGAAAGGCTGTGAGGCTACACAGGTGCTTTCAAGAACTTGGAGCCAGGAAAGGAGCACAGGTAAAACTGCTGAAGAGCTGAGTGCTCTGAAGCCTGGGCTGTGCTCAGTACCAAGTCTGTTATCCCCAAGTCAGCACTGTGATAAGCAGCTCCTGTCCCTCATCTCCTCCTCTGTTTCTCCTCTAGTCCTCACCTGAGTCTCCCCTTTCTCTAGCTCTGCTGGGGGGCTGGTGTTGGTACAGATGCACCCCAGGAAGGGTGTGCTCTTCCAAGGCCTTGCTACAGCACTGGTGGCCCTGGCTAGCAGGTGCTCAGCAGGCCTCTGTGCCATCTCTAGCTATCTATGGAGGCTACAGCTCTGTTACTTGCTCTACCATGCGGGGAACCCAGGAGCCAAACCAGAATCAGGCTGTGATGGCTCCTCCACTAGCCCACCAGCATAAAAGATGTCCAGACCTAGCTATGCTCCCCGGTTGTTTGTGCAAGGATGTTGTGTCAGGCCTTGTAGCTGTGGGTCCAACTCTGGCTGCTACCTGCCTGGGTAAAGGCAGAAGCACCTGTGTTTGGAAAAGAAAGACAGCTCTGCTGTCCCAGAGAGATTAGGGACACCAGAAGGGTTGGGAAGTGTTTCCCCTCCTTCCACGTACATGGCGGGGGGTGGGGGGGAACCAAAAAACATTTACCCCCAGGGTACTATATGCAACATATTTTTAATTTAATAAAATGAGAAAAAAAAGTTGCCTTTCAAAAGTACCAAAACCTGCTGGCTTGTCAGGTTGTGTCGATGAGAAAAGGGTTAACCAGTAAAACCCAGGCTCCTGGGGCAGAGCATCTTCCACGGTTCTGTCCCCTGCTGCCTGAGGGACAGGTGCCCACTTGCTCTGTCCTCTGCTGCCTGGGGAGCAGGAACAAGGCACCGCAAGTGGGCTCTGCCCCATCTCTCAGTCCTCCAGGCACAGTGGGGCTCTGGCTGGGCCCCAGGAAAGCTGGGCAATGCCTCCAGTTGGCAGGAAGAAGAGGGGCTATCTGTGCTTCTCTGGCAACTACAAAGCCCAGAAACCACAGCACTGAGACACCCCAAGGCGATGCTGGGGCTTCTGGGCAGTGTAGCCTTTGGCCTGTAACAGCAACGGATGTAACCAAAAAGCAACCTCTAACAACTCAGCAAACCTTGGGAACTGTACTGCCCAGCCTCAGTATCTGCATAAGAATCAGCCTGGGCTGAGGGGAGCAAAGAAAAGTATCTCAAGAGCCGGGGCAATTAACTGATAAAACCAAACTGGGAGGTACTGGTTTTCACTGCAGAGTGCCCTCCCAGAGCAGATGCCAGGCTGGGGGCAGGAGTCCTTCCCTTAGCTGTGCCTGTCCTCCCTGGAGCACCTCCTGCAAGGGGGCTGAGAGAGCTCCCCGCCACGGGACAGGCTCAGCTTGGGACTTACCACCTCACACGGAGGTGTTTCAAAAAGAAAGCTACTGTTTTGCTTGCCCTTTCCTCCTTCTGAGCTCTGTAATAGTGACAGAAATGGAGGAGCATTAGCCAGAGGCAAGATGGTGGCAGGGAAAAGAGCTCCCTCGTTCATTAGTGACCTTGGAGAGAAGCCACAAGACACAGGTGGGACAAGAGTACCAGCAGCCCCATATGGTGAGCCCCCAGGCCTGTGCCTTGGCTGGAAGTCTTTGACCCATTAAGGCAAATGGAAAGATTTGGAGCTGTGGCAGCCCAGAGCATTTCCTAGGCTTGTTCCAGCCCCTTCCCCAGGAAAAGCAGGTGGAAAAGTGAGTCACTGGTCCAGTCTATCCATACCCCACCATGCTTCTCAGCAGGTTCCGAGAAATCAAGCAAGTGCCCCCTGGCAGAGGCAGGACAGCAGGCACAGCTTAAACGCCACAGCCCCAGCTCCTTAGACCTTTTGTACAGGGGTCTCGCCTGGCGGGAGCTTCTTACTTCGTTTCTTCATGCGGCTGCGGGCGTAAATGCGGAGGAAGAGGGCCATGAAGACAACGGCTACGCCCAGCCCGCCCACCACAGTGACACTGTGTCCATAGATGAGGCAGGAGAGGAGGATGGCAAAGGCCTGTCGGAGCGTCATGATGATGGTGAAGACAGCTGCCCCGAATTGGCTGATGGTGTAGAAGATGAAGAGCTGGCCACAGGCAGAGCAGACCGAGAGCAGCACGGCGTGGGCTGTGAACTCTGAGTGGCGGGCCATGAAGCGTACCGACTCCAGCAAGGCACCCTGCTCCAAGAGCGAGCCCACCGTGAAAAGGCAGGAGAAGACATTGACGCCAAACATCATCTGCACAGGAGACATCTTGTAGGTGAAGAGTGCGTCCTGCCAGTTGGAGGTGAAGCTGTCGAAGAGTATGTAGCCAGCCAGGAGGACGACGCCAGAGAAAGTGGTGACAGTGGACACGTGCCTGTTGGGAGCACTGGAGAGCAGGAACATGCTGACCCCCACGGAGATGAGGGCAGCAGTCAGGTACTCCCAGTACTCGTAACTCTTTCGTGATACCAGTTTGCCCATCATCATCACTGGGATCACTTTGGAGGCCTTAGCCAGCACTTGGGTGGGGAAGCTGACGTATTTGAGTGCCTCATACTGGCACCAGCTGCTGAGGATATTGGAGAGGGAGGCAAAGGAGTATTTGTACATGGGAGCCCCGTGGCGTGGCTGCTTGGTCAGGGCACAGTACAGACCAGCCACTGTGAAGGCCAGGATGCGGTTCATGAACACTAGGAACTGGGAGTCCTTGAACTTCTCACCGGGATCTGTTTCAGTGGCACCGTACGTTCTTGTCATCACACGCTCCTGGACAACGCCCCACGTGAGGTAGGAGACCTGCAAAGTGGGAGGAGCACAGGATGAATCAGGACCCACAGCCGCAGCTGCAAGCAACCATGGGAAGAACAGACCCCAGGAGAGATCCTTGCTTGCCCCAGTGTTGCCTCATCCTCTGCACGGCAATGCTTCCCTGAGACACTGGGAGATGGGGCCATCCCCCACTCCACCCTGAGGGAACCCAGTGTCCCATGCGGTTACAACTAGGAACATCCCGTCCTAAACAAAACCCACTCAGTTTACAGTCTCTTCACAGGAAGAGAAGCCCACAAAGCAAACATCCTGGCATACAGCGAGCAGTTACGCTTTAACCTGCCAGTTGA